TCCCTCCATCTGCTAGAAACCACCAGTCCAACCTCAGGTCTATCGCCCACCACACCTATCCATAGTTCCATATTGCCCTTCTCCTTTCTTCATGAATTGTCCCTGCCGCTTGGAGCCACCAACATAATCTTAAATCAACCTCCCTCGTTTTCTCCCTTTCTAAGTCTAACACCCACTCTGCATCTTCCTTGCTCTAAAACATAAACAGAAATAGACCCCCAACCAAATTTCTAACACCCACCACTCTTTCTTCCCCCCATTCTGGCTTTGCCCAAGCTTCAGCCGATTTCTCCTTCAAATCACAGCCAACAACCTTCCAACTAGACTAGCACTCAAGATCCTCAGCATGTTGCTCAACTCTTCCCCCTGATTTGCCTCAACCTGAACTCTTTTCAACACTTCATTCTCCATCTGTCATTAGTTCTTCATCTTCTCTCTTGGGTCTCTCACATACCTTCGACTAGAACTGATCTATCAAAGAGGGAGGTCCTTGCCTCATCCCAACCATATGGGGCTACATGAATCCTGTTTCACCAATCCGTTCTATTTAGAGCCATATCCACTATTAAATTTTTAGTGCCTAAATAATTCTTACTACTTCTGCCCATGTCCTTTTTGGTCTACCCCTAGCTCTTCTAGCCCCTTCCATTTGTATCAAATCACCTCTTCTTACTAGATCTGTTGGTGGTCTTCTATGCGCATGCCAAACCATTGAATGTTAAAAAAAAATAACCAAAAAAAATACTAAACTTGGTAAGATAGCAAATGGATAGGACAGAGGGACTTCCCAATCCCTGCAAAGGTGGCACAAAGAATCGAGAAGTTGCAGAGGGACTTCCTTTGGAGTGGTTTAGAGGAGGAGAAAAATCCACCTAGTAAATTGGAATCAGGTATGTTGCTCCCCCTAAGGATCAAGGGGGACTGGTGATTAGGGGGATAAAAGTGTCCAATCAGGCCATGTTGGACACCCCCTTAGGGGCCCCACACCATTTAGATTTGAAAACATGCGGTTGGAAGTCCCAAAGTTCACTAAATAATAAAGGAGTGGTGGATGGAAGATGGTATTAGCATAAGCAATAGAGGGGTAAGATTCGCAAAAAAGTTAAAGAGGTTGAAAGAAAGGATTGAGGAGGAAAGATTAGAAAGATGGTGCCTAAAAGTGGAATTAGAGGAGATTTTAAGGAAGGAGAAAATTTCGTGGATACAGAAATTGAGATGTAAGTGGCTCTTGGAGGGTTATGGCAACACAAAATTTTGCACTTAGTGGCAAATGGAAGAAGAAGAAGAAGAAGAAAATCTGATCTCTGGTGTTGAGTTTGAAAGTCAGGCAATAACTTCGGTGGAAGAAATTGTTAAGACTTTTGTGGATCATTTTAAACCAATTTTTGCCACTTTAGGTGAAAGGAACTTGGAAGTGGGGGAACTAGATTGGACTAGAGTGCCGGAAACAAAAGTAGCCCTCCTAGAAAAGAACTTCAGTGTGGAAGAGGTTCATGAGACAATATTTTCAATGGAGAGATTTAAAGCCCCTAGACCTGATGGCTTCTCAATGGCTTTCTATTAGGATTGTTGGGAAATCATAAAATCTGATTTGATGTAAGTTTTTACTAAATTCCACAATAAAGAGGAAATTTCACTAGGAGCAAATGCAACCTTCATTGCTCTAGTGCCCAAGAAGAAGGAAGCTAAAACTCCAAAGAATTATAGGACCATAAGCTTGGAGAGTAGCTTGTATAAAATCATTGCTAAAGTCCTGACAAGAAGGTTTAAGAGTGCATTGCCCTTGATAATCTCCTAGAATCAAGTAGCTTTTGTGGAAGGGAGACAAATAATTAACCAAATTCTTGTGGCAAATGAATGTGTGGCAGAAAAGGAAAAGCAAGGAGACAAAGGTTTAATATGCAAAGTGGATCTAGAAAATGCTTATGATATGGTGGATTGGTCCTTTCTTCTAGGTTTGTATTAGTTCAGCACATTTCTTAATATTGATCAATGGAGTGGTTAATGAATTTTTCCTAACAAATAGGGGACTAAGGCAAGGAGATCGCATTTCCCCCTTCCTTTCACCCTCGTTGTTGAGGTGCTAAGCAGACTGATTATCAAGGCTGATCTAGAAAACCAGCTTAGAGGTTGGAGGGTATGTAAATGAGGTTGTGGGGCTCACTTGTAGTTTGTGGATGACATAATCATTTTTTGTGAGTACTGCACAATCCCATTTAAGGAATTTAAAGGCCCTAGTCGATCATTTTCAAAGAGTTTCAAGTTTAAAAGTCAACTAGGAAAAGAGATATGTGGCAGGAGTCAACCTGGGAGAGGAATAAACTTGTTTGCAAGCAAGAATACTAAGTTGTGAGGTAAAAAATAGACCCCTAGATTATCTAGGCATGCCTTTGAGGGGAAACTTGAGAGTAGATAACTTTTGGGAACCAATAATAGAAAGATTTGCTAGGATATTAGCCATGTGGAAAAGGAGCTACATCTCTATGGAGAGAAAATCACCTTGACCAGATCCACTCTAGCCAACTTACCCACCTATTACCTGTCCACCTTTAGAATCTCGATAAAAATTGCAAAGCAATTAGAAAAAATAATGAGAGATTTCTTATAGGAGCCGAGAGATGAAAAGAAAGATCATTTGTAAAATGGGAACAAGTGTGTAAATCTAAGGAACAAGGAGGACTAGACATAAGAAATGTGGTTAAGAGGAATACAACTCTCCTAGGAAAATGACTTTGGAGATTTCCTCTAAAAGGAGAAAGGTTGTGGCATAAGGTCATTGGAAGCATCCATTTGTAGTAGACAATGGCGGGGATGAAAAACTAGTGTCTCATGCAGTTCCAAACTCCCTTAGCAATTTTTGAGGCACTTCCAACTTTTCTTAATTTTCTCCATTGTGATGTTAATAGGAATTGAATAACACCCTTGAAGACTTATTCTAGAAAGAAGAAGGCCTTACAGCAGGTCCTAATATGGCATGGTGATGCTTGGGATTTGGACTGAATTGGACAGCAAGGGTATTTTTATTATTTTACAATTTTTTGTAGGGTCCAATAGAGTTTGGTTGTCTACTTATAGTTTGCTTGTGTTTAAAATTTCAGAGTCATTGCATAAGTAGGATTAGAGTTATTGAGTCTCCTTTGAATTGAAATGGATATGACAGCCTACTTTGAGTCCTACCAGGATTATTGAGTCTAATAGTTTGACTCCTAGGATAATTATGAGTTTAGAGTTTATAAATATGCATGAACGTTTTACACAAAGAGCAGTGAAGTTTATTGAGTTTTCTTCAGCTTATGCTAATTATGGTGAGTGATTCTCATACCCTAAAGTGATTCTAGGCACATTTTCTCTCTTCTTTCTCTCCGTATTTTCTTTCTTATTCCTTCAAGAAGCCATTACAGCCATCAACAGCCATGAACTTCTTCTCAAAGAAAACCATTCAACATTCTCTATGGACTAGAATTGAGCTGGTCCTACATCAGATGTGGGTTGTGAGAACAAAGTCTTTTTCTAAGAAGACCTCTGGCTGGGGGAATTACCCCTTAAATTGCATTTCCTTGTATTCTACTCTTTGTTAGACAATAAGGTTGAGCCTTTTGCCAGGTTTGGTTTACCCTCACACTCTTAAAGCTTGGTTTAAATTGGGACTTTGGTTTTAGAAGGGGTTTGATAGATAATGAATGTGAATCCCTAATTCTCCTACTTTCAAACTTGGAAAAGGTCTTCTTGGATCAAAATTCCTTGGACAATAGAGTTTAGCCTCCCTCTCCTAATGGCCTATTCTCTTGTCCTTCCTTTTTCAGCCTTCTTCCCACTCAAAACCAATGGGAGAGAATTTCCTAGCGAAAGAAATTTGGTGTAAACCAATCCCTCCTAAAGTGCAAATTCTTTGTTGGGAAGTGTTCCTTGGAAAGGTTAACACCTGCAACATGCTACATAAGATATAAAAAAGAATTACAACAAATCTTTTGCAACTGTCATCAATAATATTAAAGAACGCAGAAGTAAGAACTGTTTACAAGAATAAGAATCACATGTACACGTTGACATGTGCATACAGGAAATATAACAAGACATATTGCTACATGTGATAGCAAAGAAAACATATAACCAGAAGCAGTGCCATGTTTTTTTCAAGCTGATGATTTGTGAGTAACAACTCAGAAGATAAAAGAGGCCTTCCTGGGATATGCAGAATAAGAAACAAATTTCAGAAAAAAATATATATATATATTTAGAATGTACATGGCATTCATAGACTCCAGATCAGCTATTGCATAAATTAGGTAATATATTTCAAACTAACTACCAACATGGACTGATGGTTTGTGCATAACTTGATAGAGATAGAACCCATCTATACTCTCCTTGTGATTTTTATGAAGACATAACTCAACAGGAATCAGGACATACCTGGATTATTCGAATTGTAGAAGCTTTAGGTTGGCAGTCTACTCCTTGCTGCTCAAGCTTCTCCAGCGTGGCAACATCAACATGTTCAATTTCAACAGTCAATACTCCGCATCTATCTAGCAAGAAGAACAACAGCTTCTGAAAACCATAAAATGAATAATAAAAACTTAAAACTGGTATAGTAAGGCCCAAAGGAAAGCCGGGTATAGCACGACTTGTATGAACAAATTGTTTCAAATCCAACCTCTTGGCAAATTCCTGAACTGTAGCACTATCATCAAAACTTCCAACCATATGATAATGGGACAGTGCACTTGCAGGGCAGTTCTCAAGTGGATCCAAAACTGCTACTTTGATAGCCATTTTTGAAGCTGCTTGACATAGCATACGCCCCAGTTGCCCTCCTCCCAGGACACCAACAATTGTATCAGATAATCCATGGACTGATAAATCATCTTTCCTGCATGCACAACGTAATCACATGTAATAAACATGTCTGATTTGTAACGCTAAACTAATTTATTTGCTTCCAACCTTGCACCAACATAAAATGTACAAGATGAATGCCCAAGAATTTTGCATAGAAGATGCTTAGGGTCATTCAAAGAAAAGTAAGTGAACAAAAAAGGTGAACAAGAAATAAATCACTTGCTTGTTGCATGCCAATTCACCTAACCATAGCAATTAGTTCATGATTCCATGTCATCAATCCAAATGGCCAATTACATTTGCACATCGTAACAGGATTCAAAATTTTATTAGGCTAGAGGTTGACACATTCATTCAGACATAAAAGCAGTTAAAGGACGCCTTCATGCCTTCTATCCAACAAAGAAAATAATTCCAGCATTCTTATTTCCATGTAGTCATGCTATGATGCCACTAATGCAGCTATATTCATTGCCTCAGTGGATGTGAACAGCTGGTATATGACACTCTTCGGACATAGATGATCCAAACAAGTATTCTATGATAAACAAACGATTAGACTACAAAATGTTCTTCGCCCAAAAAGCAGTGCATCTGAACACAAGAAATATGAGGGGAAAAAGTGATAGATACCTGGTTGAACTGGCATGATCTTCCGTATATGCTTGACAGCAAGAGATCCAGTTCTTATGCTGCATAGAAGAAGACCCACTCTCAACCTTTCCTCTGTTAACATGTCCCATTGGAAAACCTAATTCCTTTTTTAGTTTATATGTAGGTTGACTTCTAAATTCCGAGCCAAACAAAGAATCATTTAGCTGACCACAGAACACTGCAGAGGTACTGCGTAGAAGCATTCTGCGGCTCCCCCAACTAATAATAACTCGTCAAACCTTCGAGAACTCCGAACGCAGGAACAACTTCTACAATCTTACAACAGAAATAACTGTTGCAGAAGATGAGAAAAACAATGAGAATCTAATGAAATTTCCAAATATTATCAAATTATTAGATAACTGATGAACCGATAATTATCAAACAAAAAAATACAGACAAAGAAACTGATGAACCGAGATACCAAGTACCAACAGTTCGGAGGAATTACAGGAATCGACATTTACGTGGCGTAGCCCCAAAGCTAAATACTGAAATAGATTATCAATCTCTAAGATGCAAAATTTTTAAAACACCAACGCTTCAGGAAGCTCACGAGTCACGGAAAACCTGCAGAGGGGCTGGATTAGTTCAGAAGCTAGTCCCAGAACCAGCAATAGAATCCACTAAACCTTTGCTCCTTGACAACCCAAGTGAACTCAGCTACTGGGTAAATCGCCCAGCGCCTTCAAGAGTTAAACAGAAACTTCGGACTACAAAACAATGATAAAAAGAACTTGAAACTGTAAACCAAACAACGAAAGGAAAGGAAAGGAAACAAGAAAAGAAAGCGAAGGAAGAATTTATTGTAAATTTGCAATCAAATCGTAACTTTGGAAGAATAAAATAAACACACAAGTACAAAATGGGACGGGGGAGACAATGCATGCATACCTCTCCCTCTATTTCTGCAGAGACGAGACTCGAGAAAGAGAAAGCGTAGGACGATTGCTCGATGGTTTATCTTTATGGGTTTTGTTCTGGGCCGAAGGTATTCCCCGTTAAACTAGAGACCAGATCTGTTGCACCTCACAGGTACATTTGAATGTGCATTAAAAACATCATCCGTACTTATATGTTATTATTTACGAAAGATATTCCGAATGCACGGTGGGATGTGCCTGTAAGCGCCCTCAATAACAGATTCTACTACGTGACGGAATCTGCCCCTCACAATGGGCGCCTCACACGTGCATTAGGAACATCTACCGTAAATCATAATTAATAAGTACGGGAGATGTTCTCAATACATGATAGGATGTGCGTGTGAGGAGCACATCCAATCTCCCTCATTACACTAGGGCTGCAAACAGTCGAATGGACAAATCCCTTAAACCTCCCTCGGCTTTCTGATAAGGCCTTAAAAGTTAAAACCACTCTCAACTTTGAGACGTCCATGTCCATTATTCCCATATTATTTTTTTTTGGCATAAAGGGACTTTTTTTTTGCAAAAAAAAAAAAAAGAAACTGCCATTCATTACTAAATATGGAAGGTTACATCATTCATCGCTTGTTGGCAGACTACTAGATGACCCTTGCAAGCCGTGTAGGCTAGGGTATGAGCTGCTTTCTTTAAGTTTCTATTTACATGGCTGATAGAAAAGTTTTGGAAGGTCAACAGAGTGTTTTTAATACCAGATCAGTACAATGTTTCTAACCAGTATGAGGTCTTTATATTGCTATTCAAAAAAGTTACTAATTGTAGAGAGTCTGACAAGATAATTAGTCCACGAATTCCTTCTTTTTGAGCTGCTTCCAGGCCATCTATAAGAGCTTGAAGTTCTGCATCATAGCCGCAGACTGCCCAGCCGCAATAATGGTTCCTTGAGTGGGGCATTAGATGATGCAACTTCTTCCTGCATGACCGTGTTGACATCATAAGAGCCATCAAAATGTAGGTGAGGTGTTGAGGATGGGGGTAGATCCTGGTTGCACCCTGTGCTGGCATATGCTTGGTAATGTGATTGGTTTTGTGTACTAATACAAGACTAAGCTTTCCTGACAATGTCCATTGGCGAGTATTTCTTGCTTTGTTTTGAAGGTCGCCTTGTTTCTCGCAGACTGATACACCAACTATTCCGGAAAATATCAATCAAGATGAGCACAAAGTTAGACGTTCCACCCGAGTAAGGAAAGCGGCACATTGGATGGATGATAATTACATCTACAAATAAAGGAAATCTGTCAAGACAGATTTGTGGAGATGATGGACATCTAATCAAGGAGAACAGATGGAGAGAATTGTGTCACGATGATTCCTATAATCAAGGATATTTTCTTCTTATTTGTTAAGTTGTTTTGGTTAATGACTCTATATATTGTCCTTTGTTGTATTATGGCAGGGGGAGTGAAATAATATCCAAACTTTCTGCCTAATCTTCCTAGTTGCCTTCTCTCATTTTGTTTCTTCCCCATTCTTCTTTCCTCTACCTTCACGTAGGAGTAAGCACTCGCTTGGAAGAGTGCTAGAGCCGAACTTATGTTCCCACTCTGCCACCTTGTCATCGAACCAGAGCTCACGGGATTTCCATCGTACTTGGCTTCGAACATGCGAGCTAATGAGAAAGCTTCATTCAGGGATCTCGGCTGCACAATTAACAACTCTCGTTGTAGCATCAGTTTTAGCCCAGATGTAAAAAAAGAGATCAACAAGGACTCTGAAATACCGGTGACTATGTTCATCAGTCGTTCAAACTCTGCTTGGTATTCGCTCACCGATGCTCATTGGATAAGTTTTGATAAGGCGCCTTAGTAATCCTCAAATTGTGAAGGTCTGAATCGTAACTTGACTTGTTGGAGGAAATCGGCCCATCCGGTCAGTAAGTTGTTATTGGACATCCACTGGAACCATTTGGACGCCATCCCTTCCATATGAAATGCCACGATCTGTAGCCTCTGTTCCTCTGCAGTCCTGACAAAATTGAAATATTGTTGGATGCGAAAGATCCATGTAAATGGGTCAGTACCGTTGAAGTGGGGAACTTCAAGTCTCAACGAACGGGCTACCTCGAAATCACCTATTGTTGTCGTTCAGTTTTGGAGCGCTGGCAATGCGGGGGTAGGTAGCAATCTTGAAGAGTTTCCTCCATTGGTATCAACTCCCTTGCCACGAGCCTGAGTTTGCAGTTGCCTAATTTGGTGTTGCATGGTTTTCGAGTGATAATGTTTGAGAATCGTGTTTTGCTTGCAATGATTGAATTTGAATATTCAATGTGTCAAATTGTTGTTTCATGGCAGCAAGAAGGTTTTCTTACATGGTGTTGAAAATTTCGGATTGATCGGCCATAATTTCGAACGATAACGGGTGAAGATTGGTAGGCAATGAAAGCACCAATTTGATACGGCCTTGTATTGGCTCCGACACTCTTCTGAGCAAGTGCTTACTCCTACGTGAAGGTAGAGGAAAGAAGAATGGGGAAGAAACAGAATGAGAGAAGGCAACTAGGAAGATTAGGCAGAAAGTTTGGATATTATTTCCCTCCCCCTCCCATAATACAGCAAAGGACAATATATAGAGTCATTAACCAAAACAACTTAACAAATAAGAAGCAAATCTCCTTGATTATAGGAATCATCGTGACACAATTCTCTCCATATGTTCTCCTTGATTAGAGGTCCATCATCACCACAAATCTGTATTGACATATTTCCTTTATTTGTAGATGTAATTATCATCCATCCAATGTGTCGCTTTCCTTACTCGGGTGGAACGTCTAACTTTGTGCTCATCTTGATTGATATTTTCCGGAATTGTTGGTGTATCACAGACCGGATCATGTATAGGAGAGTACAAAACCCAACCATGTAACTGGCTTGTGTGGTTTTATCCAAGTGTTCTTTCAAATGTTTCATCCATAGCAAAATGAAGACATGTGTCGATTTATTTTCGGCTAACTCAAGATTGATACCCAGTTAACTCTCACACCATATAGCTCTTGCGAATGGACAGGAAAAAAATAGGTGAGTACTCATTTCAATGTTTTGTTTGTAGAAAATGCAAAGAAGATTTTCCTCCTTGAACCATTGTTTACACTTGTCCTTTGTTAGCAGACCCTCCCATAGTAATTTCCATGTCAACAAGATGCAACGGTACAGTATTTTGAGGGTCCAAAGTAGTGACCAACTGAAGTGTGGGGAGGATGATGTTGGATTCATGGAGAGGAAAGCTCAATATGTTGACTTAACTGTGTAGACTCCACTCTTGTTCCTTTTCCAAATTAGGGTGTCTAAACTGAGTTGTGGATTTGGATGGAGATCAATAATTGTCTGGACCGACCTCATCTACCAAGTTATTTAGAAGCTCATGGTTCCAGTACTGTCCATCAATGGTGACTCATCTCTTGTGAGTTTTGGTGGAAAGGAGTTGGTGTACCTCCAGTTATTGCGGGGACCCAAGGGTCTTTGAAAAATGAAATGGATTGGCCGTCCTTGATCA